AGAGCAGTTACAGGAAAAATTTTCAGTTTTGCTGATTTCCGAAAATACATCATTTGGCCAACCAAATCATGAAATTTTTTGATAAAACTTCATACACAACCTATATTACTCATGTACATCAAATAAAAGTCATTAGAACCTCACAAATTTTCACTAAAGTGCACGAAATTCACAAGGGCAGAATCGGAAAAATTCTCCCTTTGACCTCTTTTGGTTTTCATCCTTAACATCACTCATTTCTAGTATAACAAGCACTAAACCAACATTAATAACACCATAATTCATCAAATCAGTCCATCCAATTATTGTAGAAATTCATAGAGCCCACACACCAAAATCCAACATAAATAAAGCTACCCACATGCATGCATGAGCTCATAAGTGTACTACTACTTCCATAAATCAAGATTTTTAAGGTTGATGATTGATCACCTTAGTTGATAACTTAGACAGAAATTTTTGGCCTCTTGAAGCTCAACAAAATCGTGTAAGGCAAGCTCTCTTCCTAGCTTGAGGTGGTCTCCAAGTGATTTACAAGTTGTAGCTAAAATTTGGGGTGATTTGGGTGAGGTTTTGAGGTAGAAATAAAGAGTTTTCTTTCCTTTCTTTTCTTTCTTATTTTGGCCGGCTCTTGAGGTGAGAAAATGAGAGTTTCAGCCATGCACTTGAGGTAAGAAAAGAAGAGTTTTGATCTGGTGTGATGCTTCCATGAGAAACTTAAGAAAGTGTGGCCAAAATTGCTCCAAAAGTCAACTAAGGATAGTGCGCGTATGCGCTCGTTTCGTGCTCGATTCCTCTCGAGTTTGTTTCACTTGTGCTCTAAACCTCTAATACATTTGTATTCGTACTATTATTATTCACTCTTAATGGTTTAAAAATAATGGTTTTAAGCCCCTCAATTAATCGCGCGCATAAAAACACGTACTTCCGATTTGTGCGCGATAAAGTGGAATTTTCAAGAATTTCTTATAACGATAGTATCACTAACTAATAATTGAATTCTTAAACATAAAAATACCTATTTCAAGACTAATGTACAAGTCTCTAATTTTTCAAGTTTATTGTATCCTCGAATCGATTATTATTTCCAATCGTGTATTCACTATTCTCACTTTACGAGCTTTCAAAAATTAAATTTTGAAATGAGTCATTTTAAAAATTTAAGTAAATCATAGTTCCATGTAATTGAGTATAAAGAGGTTGAAATAAAATATTCGAGACAAACGGACAATTAAATATTGAAATAAGCTAGTAATAGGGGCTTAAAATAGGAAATTTTGCGAGTTCTCACATAAGTCGAGTTTTAATTTCTCAAATCTCCAATTAATTTTTCTTAATCTACTATTGATCATTCTTACTTCTCCAAAATTAATACACTCTCGATTCAAATATAGTCTCAAAAAACGTGTACTCGTTGTTTCGAACTAAACGAGTTTTCGAAAAGTAAATTTTCTAACAAAATGCTTTAAAAACATAAGAGAGAGGTTTTTCCATATAAATGGATTTTAAGTAGTCGAATTAAATAATTCAGAGGAAAAGAGTGAATAACTATTTAAATAAACCAGTAATATTTGACAAAATAAGAAAATTTTCGGATCCTCACATGGGCAACTTGGATGGCATATGTGAGGGGGAGGGGGAGGGGGAGAGGAGGGGTTTGAGAGGATCCATTCTTCTTTTTGGGGTTGGGTCCTCTGTCTGTTTAAACTTTCAATCAAACGTGATGTTTTCCTCACATCACGTTGCAACCAATGTTGCAGCCATGGCGGTGTCACTTTCCGTTTCCCTGACCTAATTTTGACATATCTGAGCCTTAAAACTTCAAAAGTGTCCGGCACCAGCTTAGGAATTTTGGCTCGGCATTTTGGGAACTTCTTGTTGTCTTACTTCTACTGAAGCATCTGTAGCAGGCAAGTAATGAAAGACTAAGATGGAACAACCCCACAACCACAGGCTAGTCGGTTTTCATTTGCTTCTAGGTTGCTTTAGAAGAGGGCTGCTTCTAGGTTGCCTTAGAAGAGGGTTGCCCTCTTGTTGTGGGGTTGTTCATTTTCTACAAATTTAAAAGAGGGCATTTTGTGGGTTGTTCATCTTCTACAGATTCAACAAGAGGGCTTTTCAAAAGCTTCTACAGATTCAAAAGCTGTTCATCTTCTTGTTGTGGGGTTGTTCATCTTCTTCATCTGCTTCTAAGGCAACAAGAGGGCTTTGATTACAATTCATACCTGAAGTTCCCAAAATGCCCTTGTTTAATGTTAAATTAGGAGCTAAATTACTTTTAGGTGGTGGCGCCGCCGTAGAAGGCCTTAATTGGACCCGAAAATTAAGTTCATGTATTAACTTGGTCAAAAATAAAAGTTAGGGACTAAATCGATGGAAAAAAAATTTAGGGACTAAAATGACCATTTTCCCAAATTAAAATACTATGTCCAAACTTTTAGGGTTTGAGAATTAAAATGTAATCCAAGGCTCTTGGGATGAACGAGCATGAATGAGAATGCAAAATCTGGCTACCAAACGTAAAAAATTAAAATGCAATGTCCAACCTATTGGTTTTGAAAATAAAAATAGTAAAACTATTAGGATGGATGAAAATGCAAAATTTGGGCTGTTAGACTTGAAAATTTCAAATGCACGATCTAGCATGGCGGACTCAAGACCAAAAATGAAATGTCAGGTTGCTGGCGGTAATCAAAATGAAAGGTCTGAACTGCCAAACTCAAAAATAAAATGTCATGGGCTAAATTGCTAAAATCGAGACTGAAAATGAAATGCTATCTACTGGAGGTAATGAAAATGCAAGGCCTTGATTGCCAAACTTAAAAATAAAATGAAAATATGCAATAGTCCAGATAGCTAAACTGGATGTGCAAGTAGGGATGGCAACGGGGGCGGGGGGAAATTTTTTCCCCCCGTTTATACCCCCCGCCCCACCACCCGTTTGAAAAAATATATATATGTACATAATTATATATATATATAATGATATTATCAATTATACCACTAATTATACATGTCTATTAATAAAAATTATTAATTATTTATACTAAATTTATTGATACATTTATGTTAAATTCCTAACTATACTTAATACAATAACACTTTTTTCTAAAAAAAATATAATAATAATTTAGTGATTGTATTTGTATCAAAAGTGAAAACTTGATTATTTTAATTATATTTGTTTTATCATATTAGATTGTATTCAAATAATCTTTGTTTAATTATTTTTATGAGTTTCAATTGTGAAGTTACAATGAATAATAATTTGGTGATGTGTTGATATTTTGGTACTTGATTATTTGCTCAAATTTAATTATAATGAAATTATATAATAAAATTTTTTTAATCCCACGGGTGCCCCCGCGGGGGAAGCGGGCCGGGGGGAATTACAATGCAACTGGCCGGGGGTTGGGGGAGGTGTCCCCCGCCCTATTGCCACCCCTATGTGCAAGTAGACTAAAAAATTTGAAAATTCGATTGATCCAATCTGAACCCGTTCCAAAATAATTTTTTAGCAAGATAGACAGAATTATTGAAAGTAGAAGGAGACATAGGAAATAATAATATTTTGGCAAGATGGACAGAATTACTGAAAGTATAAGGGAGTGAGCTATAAATTAATATATATTCCGGGGAGATTATGTAATGACTTGAAAAAATAATAGCAGCACTTGCATAGAAATCTAATTTAAGGACCAATTTCATAAATATACGCGGGCGCGCGCGTGGCGTTGAAAGCGTTCCCCAGAGAGTAGGCAGGAAAAATCGGTGGGGAAACATGTGTGTTAGAAAGAGAGAGAGAGGGGGGAAGCAAAATATATAAAAGGGGATGTCAAAGATGATATGGAGCCAAGAGTAAGGACCACCAATGACCTTGCCGCGGCTCTAAGTTTTTTAATTAATTAATTAATGCCACCCCACATTTTAATTAAATACCAAATTTGCCCTTAAGAGTTAGTTAATACAAGGAAGTTTTGCATGGGAGCTTTAACCCATCCCTCTCAGTCATCCCTCAATTCTTCATCATCTCCCGTCCCGTCCTCGACTTCAGACTCCCAACACAGATTGATTGATTGCAGTCGCAACTCGCAACAGAGAGAGATTGGAGGCACCTCAACTTCATTTGCCAGAAGAGACGGTGGTGGTGAGGAGGATTATTATCATGCTGCTATCACCAACAGCCCAAAAAACGCCCCCCTTCTTACAATATCTGATTCGCAGCAAAATCAGCTTTCTTTGATTGATTCATGTAATGGTCGGTAAATGAATCCGTCTTCACGGTAAAACTAAGCTGTGTTTGGATTGATATTTTTTATGATTTTTTATGAAAAAAATACTGTAATGATTTGATGCATGTGAAAAAAATAATAATAAAAAAATATGATCACGAAAAACGATGTTATTTTTTCCTACGAAAAATCGCAATCCAAACAAGACTTAAAGATTTCTTCAAAAATAAAAAACTACGCCCCCATTATGGCATTTTCTTATCTGTCTGCCTCTGCGAAAACTGGAAAACAAACTTGATGCTCAGGCCACAGTGCGACAATCAACAGCAACAGTAACAGAGAGGCCGAAGTTTGCATCCAGATTGATTGATTGATGAAACAAGACAGAATAGAGGGAGAGAGGGAAGCTTAGAGGCTAGAGCCAAATCAATGGCGCCGGATTTAAGTTCCAACCGCTTTTTCTTCGTGTCCCTTCTCGGACGGGATACTGGGACGGAGGGAAGCTTAGAGGCTAGAGCCAACAAATCAAATGTCGCCGGCCCTGGGTCCTACACCTAAATTGATTATATGCCTATTGACTCCTAAGGGCAAATATGTCATTTGGACAAATTACCCTGCGGTTTCTAAATGACATACCGCAGGTGACATCATCGATGACATGTAGTTAGGTGGGTCCTATGCAAATTAGGTGGGTCCCATTCGGTAACACGCATTTTCTTTTTTTTCAGTTCGCCGCAGTATGTATTCATGCTTGCAGGTTCCATTTCTTGTTTTGCCAGAAGAAAGTTAAAAAAGATTTGTAGCTGCACTGCAACTCCTCTTTAATTAAGGATAAGGTAGAGATAGCCCAAGCAGAAGGCAGCAGCAGATTGCTGGATCAAGGAGATCGTACCTGTGGATGGCTGGAGCGCATGCGTGGATGGCGGAAATTGTGTATCGAGTGGTAGACTTGATGATGAAGGAATCTGAGTTGCTGTCCGGTGTGGTAAGCGGCGAAGGATTGGAGGGCCTGGGGTCAGAGCTGCAGCAGATGGGTCGGTTGCTGAGGAGATCGCCGGAGCAGCAGTGGCCGTCGCTGTGCAACTGGGATGGAGACGTGGAAGAACTGGTGTACGAAGCGGAGGATCTGGTTGACAAGCTGATCTATGATGGGCTCAAGTTTGGAGAAACAGCGGAATTAGGTGGCTTGGAGAAATGGTGGCTGTTTAAGAAGTTGTGGTTGGAGTGGGTAATGCCCAGAATGACCAAGGAGGAGGAGTTAGTTGATCTGACTCAACGGATCCGCCTCGTCAACGGTCGATTATTAGCGAGAGCCGCTGCTCGTTATCGAGACGGAATGGCCAAAGCTGTTCCTGCCCTCCCCGGTCAACGGGAAGGAAATGATTTAATTGATGATAATGTTTGCAAGATGGATCATGCTTGGAAATCACCTTCCCCTCCTGTTGAATCAGACGACCACTTGGATGTTGACGCCATTTGTTCGGAGGACCAAGAAGATGATTTCGTCGTTGTTGGCAGGGAAGACGAGCGGAGGGAGGTGATTTCTAGCTTGCTGGCTACTGGTGACGCCTTCAAAATTATTGGGATATACGGAATGGGTGGAATCGGCAAGACAACTCTCGCCCAAAAGGTATATGGGGACTCCTCCGTCCGCCGCCATTTTGATTGCTTTGCCTGGGCTACGGTGGGGAAGGACTTCCGCACCAGAAGAATTTTGGAAGATTTGCTGCTGCAACATGTCTGCCGAGCGAGGGATGACATGGCCCCATTTTCAGACTTGGACTTGGCTCAGAAGCTTTACGAGTTCCTGCAGTCCAAGAGATTCTTGATTGTTTTGGATGATGTCTGGTCTGCCGATGCTTGGGAGTGCCTCCGCATTGCACTTCCGTCCCGAGAACCAACCGCCAGCAGAGTGCTGCTCACCACTCGGGACGACGGAGTTGCGGACAAGATTGCTTCTTCATCTGCCGACGACAAAGGATTCGTTCACCGGATGAGGTTTCTTAACCCAGACGAAGGCTGGGAGCTTCTCCGCAAGACGGCTATCAGAGGTCACTCTTCTTCTGGTAAAGGCATCATTCCCCCCCTCTTCCCTCTTCCCTCTTCCCATTGGGAATTTTTTTTAATTTTACTTTGAAGTTCACAAATTGCAAACCAAAGGAACTGAAACTTATGTCTCCGGCGTTCAATCACTCGAACCCTCCCCTTTCCTCCTAGTAGGCTCCTCTCCACCTACTTCCTTCTCTCCCCAAAATTGAGCAATAATCAATTTTCCTAGTTCCTTTCCCTGCCAATTCGTACTTCTCCATGGGGTGTCATTCATGTATCCTTTCTCTTCCTCCCCTTTTCTGGTCTTATCATGCATTATTAAGTCTTTTGAGTCTGCATTGCATCATTACTAGCAGGAGTATTTGCTACTTTTTCCTTTCATCTTTTTCATATCTATTATTGGCAGCCCGAGGGGTTTGATCATGCTCAGACGCTTATCTTTCTACTACTTGCTTCTATTTAATTGCTCAGATCCTAAGGTTGATGCGGAACTGCGAGAGATTGCGGAGGATTTAGTAGATCGCTGCCAAGGCTTGCCACTAGCCATCAGGGTGATGGCAGGGTTGTTGGCGTCAAATCCTACACCGCACCAGTGGAAGGCGGTTCACCGCAGTATTGTCTCCTATCAAACCATTGATCAAGGTTCTCAAGTCTCTGCAAAAGTAAACCAGACTTTGGCTTTGTCATACCACTTTTTACCAGAGTATTTGAAGCCATGCTTTCTCTACACGGCTGTGTTCCCTGAGGGTTTTGAGATGGATGTAGGGAGTTTATGCCGATTGTGGCTGGCTGAAGGCTTTATATCGTCAACCCATGGGTCAAGCCAACAGTCAATGGAGGACATCGCACAGCAGTATCTGAATGAACTGGTGGCCAGAAATCTGGTGTTGGTGCAGAAAAAAGAATCCTCACCATTTAGGAGTTTGAGAACCTGCCGTGTTCATGACCTGTTGCGAGACTTGTGCTTACTGAAGGCAGAGGAGCAGAACTTCTGTGACTCCATAAGCTTCAGACACACAAATGACACCGGTCTAGCTTCTTCTTCCCCCATTTTAACTACCAGAATACATAGACTTGCGTTGTCTTTTGAAGACGGGTGTGTGGTTCCCCACAATTGGAATACCATTAAACAGCTTCGGTCCATCTCAATACAGTCCACATCTGATGATCATGGATGTATCTTATCGCCGCACATGTTATCAGAAGTGAAGGACCTCTCGAGGCTTAGGGGGTTATTTCTCTCTGGTTTTAACTACAAAGTATTGAGGTTTCCCTCAGCGACACTGGAGTTATTTCCGCGTCGGTTCTTGAGTATGAGAAATTTACCTAAAGTATTATCAGATCTTACCAACCTTAAACGGCTTCGAGTTTTATTTTTCAGTGGTTTTAACTTTGATGTCACTAGGATGCCCACTGGGATTGAAAAGCTATTCCGCTTGAGATACTTGAGCATTAGAGACTGTAATATCACGCGTTTGCCTCCAACTATTGGCAGCTTGTTGAACTTGGAAACTCTTGACTTAGGGGAAGGCACTTGGATTAGGATGCTCATACCCAGTGAGCTGCAGAAACTGAGCAGATTGAGGCATCTTTTTTTGCCTCGTAGCTATCAGGTCGTCGAGGGTGGCAAATTGCAATTGGATGGGTTGACAAAGCTGGAAACACTTGTTAACTTCGATTCGAGGCAGTGTAGAGTGAAAGATCTGTTTAAATTAACAAAGCTTCGGAAGCTTGTTGCTACCATGGATGTGAATTTTGAGGACCTGGAGGTGGTAATTAACTGCATGGAAACAAGCTTAAACTGCTTACGCTTTTCTTCACTCATTGTCAGAACACATGACTCTGGTAACCATTTTGTTACTCACAAATTATTGCAGTGTGCCAATCTTCACCTTTTGCAAATAGAAGGTCATATAGGCAAGTTGCCTCTGAGAATTTCTCATAGCCTCACTGAAATTTCTTTAATTGGGTCTTTGCTTGATGATGATCCGATGGAAAAATTGGAAAAGCTTCCAAACTTGTGGGTCCTTGCATTGCACAACAATGCCTTTCTGGGGAAGCACATGACCTGTTCAGGCATGGGTATGCCGCAACTCAAATATTTATCCATCTCGAACTTGCGAAACTTGGAGAATTTGATGGTTAAAAGAGGGGGCATGCCCAAGCTTTCTACTTTAGAGCTCGAAGGATGTGAGTGTCTAAAGAATCTGCCTGAAGGACTCAGTTTCCTCACGAGTCTCCGGGAATTGACTGTTGCACAGATGTCTCCAGAGTTCATTGACCGGCTTTATGAGAGTCAGGAGGATTTTCGTAAATTCCAGCATGTACCTGTCATTAGAATGTGCTGGTAATTGATTTACCACACCCTTCAAATGAATTAGAAGCAGAGCAATGGATTTTTGCCCTTTTGACTTGATTATGTTGATGCATACTTTTCTTTGTGCTATCATGTAACTTGGGGTTTTATTGTAGGCCTTCTCAAAAACAAAAGATTGTTCCCCTAGCATGCAGACATGGGCTTCAGGTGGCAGGACAAGAGCTTCACTGAGGTAAAAAAATATTTGGCAAAAGTCAAGCATGCTACTGCCATTAAAACCGGCTGTTGATAATTGATTGTTTACTCGTATCTGCCGATCAGCTTCCAAGAAATAGCAGCTTCCTGCATTTTGTTTTTTTGGATTTCATGCCCTTTTCCCTGTTAATGGGCCTTCTCAAAAAACTGAAGACATTCCTCTACCTTGCAAAGTTGGGCAGCTGATGTCGGGAGAAGATATTCAGAGAAACTTTAAAGCTGCATCAAAGATGAGTAGTGTTCACGGCAGTTTGCATGCACTAATGAAAGGAGAGGAATGGTCCAATTTTAACTATTTTTATTGTTTTAACTTGAACCAATGTTACAAAGGTTATCAAGCTCTTAGTAGTACTAGAGTAGATTACAGTTGTCCTACTTATAATCATTGAGTGGAACTTACCTTTTTCTTTCCACTAGTAATGCATGAAGCCATGCATAATACAAGTTAATTCAGGCTTTCATAGCTTGCTTTCCAGTAAGCTGTATAAAAGGTTAAGATTTCAGGTGCTGGATGTTTGTCTGTTGGGCATGGAGCAATACATGAATTATGACATTTCTTTGTTATCACAGAAGGCCAAACCTGTCAATTTAATCCTTGTGGAAACCGTGTTTGATGTCTGACTCGTGTGAATTATAAGGAGTTCCTGTTCATCGAAAAGCTTTTTAGTGTACTCATAGCATGTCGCCATTCACAAGACAACTTTGACTCTAAAGATGCAATTCAGTGAAAAACATAGAACAATCTCATCCATAATGAATCTGTTGATTCTTATGTTCCATGTCCGATATGATGCAGAAACCAAATTTTTACTTATAAGATTTTCTATAGGTGTTGGACACAAGTAGCAATTGTCATAACCTTGGAGAGATTTTACAGGTGACATATTTGTTTTTCTTCCCACATTTTTCTGTAAAACTTTAGGCTAAGATGTGGTTAATCTCTGCTATTCTGGCAGTAAAACAAAGTTTTTAACTTTTTTGTGAGGTCCTAGCAAATTTGTTACATTTGCTCAAATGTTGCAAGTATCAACCCTTAATTTTTTCCACCACAAAAGTTTAAATGACAATTACGTTACTGTTATGTTCGATTCATATACTTGTTCGAAATGCCCTTCAAATCATATAAATGTCTGTTTTCTTTTTTGAGTGTGGAAAAAAGGAAGAGTAAATCTCTGCAAAGTAGTATAAGATTTAATCATATCAACTGCTTTTCTTGTTTTGCAATAGAGTGAATGGTTAGCAGGTTGGGCAAAGCAAAGTTTATTCTTGTCTAGGACATGATGTTTCCAGAAAGACATTTAACCTGTTTACTTTGGTTCCCTTCTTTATTGACATGGCCTGTGTTCATGTTAGAGAACAATAGTTGGGTTGTTCAGACATTATGGTGGCTCAGTCCTGTGCAGGAAATGTGATTCTGACACTTCTGTTTAATGTATGATCAGCTGTTACCATTTATGTTCCTTTTTTTAACTTAATTCAGCCCAAAGTCTTTTCCTCATAAACCCTAAAGGTTCTTTGTTGATTTAATTTATAATTATTTCAGTTACAGAGACATCTCATTATGCATCCTCTTCATGTGCCCACAGGAATTAAAGCCTCTGCAACTGTTCAGCCCATTCATCTACTCTATCTTCATAGTTTTCGTGAAGCTGTCCGAATAGTTGAAGATCATCTTTATTTATTCCGCACCAGAAAAACTTGAGTAGTGAACATTAGCAATCAGAAAGGTAATCTCTAAGCTGTGTCTGATAAAAGTTAACATTCAGAAGTTTGAAATGCATCCATCTTTGTAAGGGGTTGTCTTTATCAGTTCTTTTTCTTTTGGCGGGGGAGGGGAGAGGAAGCGGGGAGGTGGTGGAGATCTTTCTGTGGTGGATTTAGGATACCTAACTTGGACAGAGGTGATCTTCATGCATTTTCTGACTTCTGAAGTGTGTACGTCTTTCAAATATAAAGACGCTAGCAAATGAAGACACCCCCTGTTAAGAAGTTTCTGTTTTGCACCACTTGCTTTTTTGTTCCATCATTATCAACATAAGTATATAAAGCGTGAATGAGATTCAGACCAAAACTTTCATTGTCGAAGAATGTGTGTTTTATCTCTCTTTTTTTTAATTTATATCTTTATTTTTTATTTTTTGGCGCTCTACGAGGGTGGGATACAATCATACTAGGGTGGCCCTTTTTTCATCCTGTTACTAACAAAAAACTCAACTTCAACAACTGCCATTAACTCCTAGTTTGAGTACTGAGAAAGAGAAGTAAATATAGCACTAAATGATTTCAGCTTAGATCAGATTTTCTTAAGCTAGCTTTAGGATTTTCAGACTTTTTATATTCATTTCAATTGTTAGACCCTAGGCTAGTTCTTGTAGGATTTCCCAAATTCATGTTGTTCCTTATGTTGGCTTACGCTGATTATTCAATCGGCCTAGTTGATATAATATGCCACATCAGTCCTTTTGTGTTCCTATTTTAGAAGTTTATTTCGCTAAAGATTTTTCTTATTTTGCATTTGGTGCAAGTTATGCACTTAGACTCGCGTTGATGAACGGCTCAAGCTTCACAGTCCTTTCTAAGGTCAAATTCAAGAGCTCAGGTCTTGACTTACCTTCGTTATCGGTTCCTTGAACAATGATTGTTAAAAGTCCTTGATTCGCTTCAGAGCAGGATGAACAGCAGTCCTTGACAGGTCAGGTAATTGGCAGAGTTTATAAACAACTTCAACAAAGAGATTATGGCACGCTCTTTAAATCAATAAGTCGATATCTGCATAATATTGGCTTAGGTTCGTGGATTGGCCAAGCATCAAGTTTGATAGGCTGATCTCTTAGGATTTCCAGATTCCACGTTCAAGTTGTTTGTTTCTTTTGTGCACGTTGATTGCTTAATCAGCCTTGTGAATGCGGGCGTGCCACATGATTTCTTCTGTCTTGTGTTTTTGCAAATTGTTCCTCGTGCTTTGACGTTCGACTTTGATGAATTGGCTCAAATTTCACAGTTGTTTCTAAGGTGGAGTTGGATAGTTCGGGTTTGACTTATTCCTTGGAACATTATTGACTTTAAAAAGTCCTTGATTCAGCTTGAAACTAGTCCTTGATTCAGCTTGAAACTAGTTCGGGTTTTGGACGTAGTCCCTGAACGGTACTGATTTCAAGTCCTTGATTCAGTTGAAGACAGGATGGCACAAATTTGCTACTATACGTGGCGGTCTTAATTAGTTTTCTTCGACGGAGTCTGTACTCACATCTGAGTCCCCCTCTCCCATTCCCTTATATTAGCTTAGATTAAATTATAAGAATCTTATCGTTGCGAAAAAAAAAGGGTATGTTATGCTAGTCAGTTGGGATTGGCACCCGTCCCAAAATATTTGTCGCACCTTGAGACTTGCACTTATTTTCACACGTGCTAAGAATTCAAATGATTTAAATTTCGGCAATACCTTCTTCAGTATTGAAGGGTTTTAAATTTCAGCACTTAAAAGTGTTGAACGGCCAAAAAGATATTGGAACCAAAGCTTTTAAGAATGTCTCCTAGCTGTTTCGGGGAAAGTATCCTGCACGGCCATTGTTTGCACCTGATGTGGGACTCATGCAGTTGCATCAAGGGCAATTCTTGTAGTATTACAGGGCCTATCATGACATCCGTGGAGTAAAAAAATTCATCATAATTACAAATAAAGTGATTTTTTGTTTTTTTGAGTTCTCTATTGGATATGTCAAAGTCAACACAGGTTTCATTTAGAGCTCAAAGTCCCTAATGAAAGATTCTGTTTGGTTGCAATGTTTCAAATATGTTGTGGAAAATCTTTCCAACGTTCTCTTCAAAATTATGCCTGAGATATATGCTTATACTCCAAGTGATATCGTTATTTTCAGAATATAACTCCTACTTTTTTTTCTTATTTTTAACCACAAAATAAGAAAGAATACAACAAATCGGCTCATACGTACAGAAAATGTATCGAGACACTTATTGGCTAAAAAGTGCAAGCATGTCTTGGAGAGACGGATAGCATGCTAAAGAGACAAAAGACAAAAAATAGTTGGATAAAATACAATAAACCTTGTGGGTTCGTCAAAAGACATCCAAGCAACCTATGATTTCAAAATATCCATATAACTCACTTATACTTTTATACTTTTAAACTGATATGAAATTTCACCTATAATCTTTGGGAATTTAGCCATTTTCATCCCTAAACTTTTACACTTAAACCAATTTCGTCATTTATGATTTTTTTTAGCTAATTTAGTCCTTCGACTATTTTAAAGTCTCCAATGTAGGACTTTTGTAGTGGCGACACCACATTTTACATATTCTGTACAACCGATGATGGGTATATCTGTCATTTTAAATTAAATTCTTTAATTTATACGGACTTCTTCTTCTCCAATGGAAATCTCATCCCATTCACCAGAAATTTGCACAAACTCTCTCTCACACACACTCAAATCATGAAACAAAATTCACAGGAGAAAAAACAAAACAAAGAACTGAGTAATGTCGTACATCCACTTATTAGTGCGACTGACAATTGGGTTTGCAGGGAGAAGGGCACTGAAGAACCAGAGTGTTAGCGGCCAAGTTTTCAGAAACAAGACCAACTCATGGAGATCGAATTTCCACGCATTTTCTCTTTCCACCCCCCGTTTTTGGGTTTTGGTGTTGGGGGGGTGCGCTTCTCGCTTCTGCTTGAACAGCTGATCTGGGATTTAAGTTTTACAGTGTTTGTTTTCTCTTTAGCTTCATATTATGTTGCATTGAAATAATTGGGCGGTTTGGAAAACGATGAGACCATTAAACCATGTTTGTTCAGAGGCTCTATTTGATTATCTGGACTATGCTGAACAATCTTTTGCACATCAGTCTGATTCCAAACACCTTTAATATTTTGACTACTATTAAGGGAAAACAAATCAATTACTTCAACTTCCTGGAAATGATAGTACCTTTTGGCATCTGGGCGTGGATGTAGTTACCCATTTTGTTTCTTTTAGTTTCCTATTTTTTTATAGTACCTTTTGCTAGTTCACTACACCTGGAAATGATTGGGTTGGAGTAGATTTTGTAATTGGTAGTCATACAGGGGTGAGAAGTATTAAGCCTCATTTTGATGATAACTATCAATTTGACGTAAAGCAGAAAGTCTTCAATTTTCTTAGCGTGGACTAAAGAATATATATACATATATGGGTGTGTGAAGTGAGAGTGTGTGCAAATTTCTGGTGAATGGGATGAGATTTCATCGGAGAAGAAGAACTATGGTCAAAGGTTCGTTTAAATTAAAGAAATCTAATTAAAATGACAGATGTACCCATCACCGGTTATACAGAATATGTAAAATGTAGTGTCGCCACCGTAAAAGTCCTACATTGGAGACTTCAAAATAGTCGAAGGACTAAATTGGTTAAAAAAAATCATAAAGAACGAAATTGATTTTAGTGTAAAAGTTTAAGGACGAAAATGACGAATTTCCCATAATCTTTATGTAACCTGCAAGTGGTGTATTTTTATTATTATTTAATGTTCTTCTTTTCTTTTCATTTTTTTATTCTTAGTGCTCAAATTCTTTTGACCTAACTATTATGGATGTTTTTTTAATTAACTAACTTCAAAAGTCTGATAAAAAAAGACAAAGACGTAGGGGAGGTATTTGGGGTAAGTGAATTCTTCTTTAAGGCCTAGTAGAGGCTTCCCTACTAACTTTCCCGTAGTCCCACATCGATTCTAACTTCTAAGGAGTTTGGGAGTTGCGTAGTTAAGTCCCCAAGTTTGCTTCAAGAGTTGCCGGCTTTTGAGATTAAATTTGGGATTAGGTTTAATTAACTAACTTCAAAAGTCTGATAAAAAAAAAACTATTATGGATGTTTTTACAAATTTTAAAATTTTTTATTTAACTATCATGAGCATTTTAATAAATTTTAAAATTTTTAAAACACTTTTAAAATTTGTAAAAGTTGTCCATCCATCCTTTCTTCCTTTTTCCTTCCCCACCCTCCACCTGCCACCGCCCCTCCTCTTCGTTCCTCCTCCTCCTTCCTCTTTGTGACCAGATCTTTGAAATGAGATTTCGGTAGGTTTCTGAAATGAGGAGGTTTTGGAGGAGAGGGTTTAGGGAGGTAGTATTAAGGTAGGAAAGAGGGATGGACTAAAGTTGGAGTTCTTGAAAAAAAGGCTTTTGGGGTGGTAGATTTGGAAATAGGAGAGGGAGTGCTAGCTTCTCTGCCATTACCACAATTTCTGCGCCAATCCAGTTAAGGGAAAGAACTCAAGGAAAAAAAAACACAAACCATAAGACCAACGGGTAATGTTCAACCCAGTATGCGGCATCACTTGTTCTAATACCAACGACTATAATAAGATGAGGGGGAGAGAGAGGAAGGGGAGAGAGAGGAGGGAGAGGAGGCGGGAAAGAGAGAAAGGGAGGGGAAAGAGGAAGATGAGGACGGACGGGAATGTGGGAATATGGGGAAAGGGAAGAGAAGAGAAGAGGGTGGTGGCCGATAGAAAATTAGGGAAGAAAGAGGGATGTGGCGGCAGTGGTGTAGCATTGGTGGCTGTGTCGCAGTAAAAGAAGGAGAAGTAAAAAAAAAAAGGAAAAAAAGAAAGGAAGATAAAAAAAAGAAAAAAAAACAATAAAAGTTGGCTACAAGTACCACAACAGGTGTAGATAAGTCCCTCACGGGACTCCAAAAGTTACCGGCTTTTGGAGTTACTGTGGGGATTAGGTTTATTTACGTAAGTTCTTACTTCAGTAAGAAAATGTCAGAAAGAAAACTCATTCTCAGGGGCTTGGGGGGTCTTTATCTCTTAGCAGTGGGGCACCCTGTGGGGTTTTCTATCCCACATCGGTATTGGGGGGTTAGGGTTTGGGTAGATAAGTCCCTCACAGGACTCCAAAAGTTACCGACTTTTGGAGTTACTGTGGGGATTAGGTTTATTTACGTAAGTTCTTACTTCAGTAAGAAAATGTCAGAAAGTACCACAACAGGTAAATAGCTATATTCCACTTTTATTTGAATCATGAAGGGTTTATGTAGATATTTCAAAATTATAGGGTGATTGAATGTCTTTCAAAGAAACTCAAAAGGGATTTACTGTATTTTATCCAAAATAATTAAGTACATACCTCGTGAAAAAGAAGTAGAGAATTTCACAAATATTACCTAAGGCTTATACCAAATCGACTTAGATCCCTTAGGTTTCAATAATTACAGTTACCTCCCTTTATAAACATAAGTGTCAAAATAAATACTATTAATTTATGAGCAAATTATGCGAAATGTCAATAAACTATTGTGAAGTGCCGGTTTTGATCAATAAACTTTTTTATTAGTCAAAAATATCACTGAACTAGTAAATCTGTACCATTTTGGTCACTCCGTCTATTTATACCGTTTTTTTTTTTTTTTAGCTTAACGGCACATCTAACCTATTTATACCGTTAGAAGAGATGGAAAATAACTTTTGAGGGGTGATTTTGTCTACACAGCCTTTTTCTTGAAGCTTTCCGACATAAATTACTCTCAAATGTGTCAGACAACTCCCAAAGGCATTTAATAAAAAAAAAAACCCATGATTCGAGCAATCAATATCCACAATGCAAATGATCATATCGTATCAACCACAAATAAAAAATAAAAGAGAGATAAAAAGTTAAACAGATCTGAAGAACGAAGAACGAAGAACCGATTACTTTCTCTTTTGAAGAGATTATTATACCACTTAAACAAGTTTTCTCAGAGGTCGTAACAAAAGTCGTAGCAGCAAAAGTACTCTAGACAGCTATCCGAGCAGTCATAGAAGCAAGAACAACTGCATCAAACAAAACCCATTAAAGAACCCAAAAAGAAAAAAAGTTCGATCTTGGAAGTTTTCTAGAGCAGGGAAAGATCTCTCATTTTTCTTCTTGTTTTTTGTTTGTTTTTTGAATTAAGAAAAGAAATCGATTTGGTGAATACTCCGATCTTAAAGAGTACTGTTCATCCAACTAAAGCGCAAAAGCCAGAAGCCCGTAAGCATCATTAAGGAACTTGGGCAGATGTAAGTGTGTACAAGTAGCATTCACTAGTAATTAATTTGAGGAGTACCAGTGCAGAGTGTCAGCTAGAGAAGTAATTGGATTGTTAATTTATTTTGATTTTGGTGGATTAAGAAGGAGAAGGATGAGTAAATAAATGTGAGGGTTGAAAACAGGAAATGGGAAAGAGGGAGGAGCTTTGGAAAAAGTGAAATGATTTTGTGTGATGGTGGTGGGGGGTTACTACCGGTACAAAACACCAGAAGGAGAAAAAGAGAGGAGAGGGGTAGGGGAGAGAAACCCTAAAAATAGAAGAAAGGGGAAAGGCGTTGAGGAAATGAGCT